GAATAATAGTTTAACTATAGTGTGTATTATGCTGCTTGAATAAAAATATACTTATATTTTTAATTGATTAATAAATTAATAATTTAGTCTGATTATGGATACTCAAAAAAAAAAAACAATTGTATTAAAACAATCAACAAAAAATAAGAAAAAATTTCAAAAGATTTTAAATAATTGATATATCAAAATAATAAAATAAAAAAAAAAAAAACAAAAAATTATTGAAAAAAAGAAAAGATCAAGAATTTGATCAATTAAAAAAAAGAAATTAAGATAATTATTCTATATAACAAATATCAAAAAAAAAATTCTATAAACAAATATTTGAATCAGAAATTATAATCAAATTAATTATTCAACAGTTAAGACTTTAAACTATAAATAGAACCAATAAAAAAAATATAATAAATAAACTGAAAATAGAAAATATTTTAATAGAAGCATTACGAAATGTTTTGTTACTCTTAAATAATAGCGGCTAAATTTGATTGGTCATCACAGATGCATAATAACTATAAATAACTATAAAACGTTATAAAGTCCTAGGCTAAGAAAAAAAAATTTCGACAATGACGACCACAAATATACCTTCGTTTCTTTCTGACGCTCATAATTTAGATCATACAACATTATCTTCCAAGTTTCATACTATAGAAATTGAGGAAGTTGAACGGTGTCGTCGCGCCAACGATGCTAAAAATGAGTTCAGTGTTTCCGTAGCACTCAGAGATGATTCTATGAAATTTAACAGATATTCTGATATTTTACCTTTTAATTACAATCGCGTAAAACTCATAAAAAGACGCCCAAATAAGACTGATTACATTAATGCAAGTTATATTGAGGGCCCTGACAAAATCACGCAATATATTGCCACCCAAGGACCAACGGAGAAAACTATTGATGATTTTTGGTTAATGGTTTGGGAACAAAATTCTTATGTGATTGTTATGCTGACAAAAGAACAAGAGAAAGGATACACGAAGTGTGTTAAATATTGGCCCGAAGAAGTAAAACAATCTATGCTTTTCGGTGATACTTGCTTAAGGATTGAACTGGAATCGGAAGAACTGGTCCCCAATGCTACTTGCGTCGTGCGAACAATTAAAATCGAAAAACTAGAGAATTCACAAGTTATTGAACTGAGGAAAATCACGCAGCTGCATTTTGTTGGATGGCCAGACCACGGTGTACCGGATTCGCCAGATACCATTCTTAATTTAGTCAATAAGACAAATGAGATTCAACGGCAATATATCGTAGACATTGTTAATTCGCAAGTACCTCCTGGAAAAGTGGGTCCAATCATAGTTCACTGTAGCGCGGGATGCGGTCGTACGGGTACTTTTTGTACTGTTGACACGGCATTAGCTATGTTACCAAATTTCAAAGATGACAATACGGATTTGATCAGTTCTTTAGTTGGGCATTTCCGCACTCAACGTAGAACTATGGTTCAAACTCTCACACAATTTCAATATTGTTATCTGGCAGTGCTTAGCAAACTTGTCACAAACCGGTAATGACTTTTTTATTTCTGGTTTGTAAGTAAGAGGCTTTAGAAATTTATATTAATAATATTTTTTCAGTATTAAAAATGGTTTATTTGAAGGAAAATCCGGCAAACGACGTTAATGAATCGTCATTTTCCTTATTATTATTTTTTTTTTCTGGTGAATTTTTTGTTCTATCACGAGTGGAAACCAACATGGTTAATGAACTATACAATTTGATTACACTTGAACACTTATCAAAATTCACGGATCCATCTATCTTCACATTCACAAAAATTATATCACGTTTCTAACCTAAAATATTTATATGCATTTAACGGTAGGTTTTAGCAAAAAAAAAAAACTTGACATAGAAATACATAGAGTCCAATAATAATTTGATGTTCTTTGAAGAGCATCAAGTACGATATAAAATGAGCTACGAAAAATAAATATAATTATTAGAGTCTGACTATTCGGTCGAAAAGTTAATTGTGAAGTAAATTTGGTTCGGAATTTTTCAGGAAAGCAAAATTTTGTTGATTTTTTTTGATAGTCGGATTGTAAAAATTCTGATTTATAAAAATCATCTAATTTTTGTTGTTTTTTTTTATTATTATTATCAATGTCTTCATTTGAAGAAGAAAAGTTGGCTTCTTCTTCAACAATTATTTTAGAAAAATATGTTATAACAGGTTTTGGACAAGAAGAACATCTATTTATTAAATGCTGACAAAGTTTTTGTGGTTTTTTATTTTTCTAAAATTTTTTACAATAATTACAAGTAGCTTGATAATATCCATTACTTTTTCATTTACACTTTTTAATATGATTCCAAACTAAACTATTTGGTTTACCAAATTTGTCTAAAGAAGAAGACATCTTTAAAAAAAATTTTTTTTTTTAAAAAAAAAGACAAAAACGAATAAAATCTCATATTACTATAAATAAATATATAATAATTAATTAAAAATTTTTTGAAGTAGATTCTTTAATCAAAATTTGTATATTATGTCCTTATTTTCAGTTATCAAATTACTTATATTCTTAGTTTCATATATCAAATTGACTTTCAGTTATAAAATTACTTTGGTTATAAAAAATTGCCAATTAGTAATAAATTGACTATCGATTATAAAAATTTAACTTTTGATTATATAATTATGTTTTCTAACCTAAAGTCTGAAGGGGACATAAATCCTTTTTGGTTTTATAATTATGTCCTTTAACCTAAAGTCTGGAGAGAACATAAATCCTTTTAGTTTATATAATTATGTCCTCTAACCTAAAGTCTGGAGGGGACATAAATCCTTTTCAGTTATAAAAACTTTTGGTTATAGAATATAATATTAGACTTTAGGAACCTATCTTTAATTGCAGGTGAATAAAAAATTACTATCCAAAGAAAATTGAAACCAAGTGTGTTCTGGAAGTAAAGGTTCTTACTAGGTGATAAGTCTCCTCAAATGGTACATAAAAAAAAAATCAAGATTAAGAATGGATAAGTTTTTCAAAAGATTAGAAAAAGAAAGAATATTTCAATTGAATATTTCTTATTAAGAAGAAATTTTAAGAAGTAGGTCTTTGGAAGAAGCTGGAAAATTTTTTTTCAATTTTTATCTTTTCATTTCTTGTTATCTATTTAGATATTTTTAGATATCCCTTTTCTCTTTTTTTCAATCTATCCTTTTGTAATTTCCTATATTCCAGTGGCTTGATCAGATATATAATGGTGATAATTTGCTGGTAATAATATAGTAGACTAGGAGGATTTTCACTCAAAGATATTGTGAAACAAAATATTATTCTCAAGGCTGAACTTAGAGGCTTTTATGCTTATAACAAATTAGTTAGATTAGAATAATAGTTTAGTTGTAATACACTACATGGACAAAAGTATCACACATCTTAAATTTATTATTATATAAAAATGTACATAATAATTTTATTTAAAATTTTAATATGTTATTGTTTATATTTTA